CGGCTAACTCTCAGTTCGGGAGCTACAAGCTCCCGATACTTGAGAAATGCGACTACATTCAGGGGATATGGCTGTAAGTCTGGAGCTGTGACTCAGACTCCGAGAGAAGCTTGTCGAGATTCAAGTTAGAGATGTCTCATCGGAGGGAAGAGCACGCTTCACCCAGCCAATAGTGCACTATAACTACTGAAGATACTCATGATGAAGTATAACTGACCATAGTCTCCTAGACACATGGAATAGTAAATACGCTCTATGATCCACATGTAAAGTTTACATTGTAAACCCGGCCCCAGGGCCGAGATTTGCCATCGGTACGCCTCGATCAAAGACAAAGTACGGAGTAAAATTGCGGATAACAGCACAGAAGAGATTCGAGGACTGCGCTGGTTCCACAAGCAAGCTCGTACCACTTAAAAGGAACCTTATCATTAGAACCACAGCCTGCTCTCCAGCCAGCAATTCGACCACAATAGTCTGATCCGCCAGCACCGCGGGTATCACATTGGTCATTTCTTGCACACTATTCTCAATGTTACAACCTTGCACTACTGGCAAAACGCCAGGTGCCCAAGTCGTACTAGCTGCCGGATATTCTTCTCTTTCCAGTTGTATCAAGCGTAAAGCATTGACCCAAATTGTCACCCGAACAGCTGCAGTTGAGACACGCCCACCAGAGCTAGCTCCCAGCTGATCATAGAGGTTAGAAATAGCCGCGATATACCTCGGCTTCGCCACAGGATTAAATCCTGTGAGCTGGAAGAATTTACCACCAAGTCAGTCTGACTGACCTAGTCAGAGACTGCACTGTTCGGTAAATTGAAAGAGGGATTGAGGATACTATCTAACTGAGCCTCCCTATCTCCGCCTTGAGTATGTCCTCAACTTTCTCCGTGGTCTCTCTCTCACTCACTCTGAGACTCCGCAACAGAAGGGGGTACGTTTCAAATGCCGATTCAATGCTTCCCCGCCATCATAGTGGTGGCGATTCACCATTGGTGACTGATATCATCAGAACGTTGCAGCTCGGTGGTGTCCAGATATGGTTCTATACTGAAATGCCTCTCTTGCACAGTAACTCTGAGTATGCTTGGGATGAGAGCGTTGGTGGTGCAAGGTTGGATAGGTTACATAGCTGAGGTGAAGAGAGTTTTTTCAACCTGAGCGATCGTCCGTCAGGGAACCCTCCGGTCAACCGACCAAGTCAGCCATTGTTTGCTCGTCTCAGTGAGAGCCGCCAACTCCACCATATTGTAGACTTCACAAGCGTTCGGCTTCTTCCACACGGAGTAGGGAGGGAGCATGAGAACCACTAGAAAAGAAGGGATCGAATGAAACGTATCTTGGTCAATTTATCCTTTCTCATGAATGTTGTCAACTTCAGGACACGGTAAGGTGTGTCGATAACAGAATGATCGGACGGTCCAATTCAGACCAACACTTACTTTCTCCATAACCCTCACACTGTCCTTCACCGACTTGCACAAAACATACACCGTGTCACTCTGATGACCCTTCCGCTGGAATCGAAAGACGATGTCTCGAGGATCTACTTCAACATCGGCGTGCTCCTTTAGTACTTCCTGGACCTTGAACGGGAAACGCAGACTGAAGTGAGTAGTCACTGCACGATACTCGATGAGCTAAGAAACTTCCGTTGAGAGTGAGCTCGCATCATTCCGTCGAAAACTACATCAGTCCGTCCGATTTGTCACAGATGCCATGATGCTGATATATGGCGTGTCACTAATCCACTGTTAAATTTCTTCGGAGCTAGTGACCTTGCCACACCGATGAACTAGTGGTTCGGAACCACGGAGACATTCATCTACCGTCGCAATGAAAGTAGCTATTAATACTTTCTCGAAGTATCTTGCTCTATAGCATCCCTTCAAGGGATTCCCTTATATTTGAGTCTATCACTGAGGGGTCTAAAGAGCACTTGTTGGATCGCTTCGCTATGTTTTAGACATTCGCTTTTGTTTTCTCGCCTCACTCACACTATCAACATCATTAATATGACTCCTACCTCTATTCGACCGTATGTTCTCGGCAACCCTGTAAGAGTTACAACTCGATCAACTTCACCTTGACTATCAACTGCCAGACGCCGTAAGTCTGCCGACAAATTATGGAATCTCTCTGCTTGCTCCACGAACAAAGAAATGT